GTTAAAACAACTCCCCTTATTCCTGCTTGCCTCCTTGCTTATACTACCTCCTCTCAATACTTTTAAATGAAAGGCTATGACTAGCACATCACCAAAACCAAATTCTATTTCTCAGAGACCCATATTAGCTAAAAACACAATAGGAAAGAGAAACACTTTTGTAAGGGCACTTGATCTGTGCAGATTCCCTTGACAATGAATACGCAAATCAGCATCAGTTCTCCTTTGTGACAATTTTCAGATTCTGCATTAGGCTCACCAATATTTAAGCAATTGGTCTCATTAGAGAACAGCCTACCCCCATGTAACTCAGCTTACTCTGAGTTGCACAAAGACAGATCAAAAGCTCTTAAAGTACTGCTTTTAAAATTAAATTATTTGTTGGTCACACCCTTCTTACCTCTTGTTCCTGCAAGTAAAGAGGAGAGAAAGAGGTTAGGTTTCTAAGTATTTTAGTCAAAGGGCTAGCTCAGATGATCTTTCAAGGTCCTTTCTAGCCCTTAAATTTGCTTGTCTTGTTTGTGGATTTGTGTGGAGCATGGCAGAATGAAGATCATGGACACTACTGCTTATTCATTATAACCTGATATGGTTTGTGTTTTAGTTTCCTTTCTTTTTGAAGAAATAGCATTCTAGCTTGCATGACCCGTAATCCTGTCTCAAATCCTTATTTTCGAGTGAGGTGGGGAATGCACTTAGGCATACTTCACATAGACTGTCTTCTGGATTTCCCATAGGCTTGTGGGATGTGATCTTTTGTCTCTAAAGGGAATGTACTTTGACATTGTTCTAGAAGAGAAAAAGGGAAAGGCTGTGCTTTCCTAAGGTACAATCAAATTTTGTCAAAATTTGCATTCAATGAGCCTATTTGTCAACATTGCTTTGTAGCTAAAGTTGCTTTTATCCACTCTTATTCATCTGAGGTTAAACTAAATAGTGTGTAAGTTACTAAATCATCAAAACATGGGAAAGGAAAGAGAAATATTTCTTATTCTTTGATCTGCATCTCAGCTGTGAGGTGCAGTGAATCTTGTGCTTCAAGACTGTCAATCATTTCTGATTCTAGAACTACTATAATAAAAATTAAGATTCTGATAGGCTATATTCAGATTCTATTTTTTTTGAGATTCTTTTCTTTGTTTAATAAACTGCCTCTTAAATAATGCTCTTACTCTGTTGAGGAGAGAAATGTGTGTGGAATTGACAAGCAAACACACAAAAATGGAATGGTAGCTGGGTTCCTGTAACCAAGAGAAATTTGCGAGACATTTAATTGTGGAGGGAGTCACAGTATTCAGAGATTGACCTTGAAGTTTTAAAAAAAGTGAATTGATGCACTGCAACAAGCACAAAGCCAGCTTTGGTGCTAAATGTAAATTGTTAAAAATGATACGGAATAACATCTGCCTTGTAGTATGCCTTAATCAGCACTGTGAAAAATGAAAGTTTAACGATCTACTATAGTGGCTTCTAAGTGAAGGATAAACAAAGGATGAAAGAGTTTCTTGCATGGTTTGTAACTGATGCCATGAAAAATGTCAAGAACCATCTGCCTCAAAGTTATCCAAACTGTCATCAAGTATTCTAATCCAGTCAAACGAGATGCAACTAGAACAACCTATGTAACTTGCTGAAGGCTTATCAAAAGAGTTGTAAATAAAGAAGGAAAAAACCCATCAACTGTGTAGCCGCAGATTGCAGCCAGCTTGCCGGTGGCTTTGAAATTCAATCC